GTACAAACAAACCTTGTTATTACACCCCACTATTAAAGAGGCACATATATAGCCCTTGTTTGGTAGAGATTATAATCAGATTTTTAGTAAATTTTGATAAAAATTGATTGAATGTGTGACAGAAAAGTTATGGGAATATGTGATTAAAATTGATTGTTAACTTTGACTTAAATTAAAATATGACTTTTTTAATCAGTACAAAACATGAGCATATTTTCCATATTATACTACGTCTAGACAAAAAAATCAATAAACCGTCAAAACCAATAAAATTGAGCCGGATCGGCTGGTTCAGCGTAGTCAACTGGTTTGGTGGTTTTTTTTTTTTGACAAAATCATATTGTGTTGGTTTAGTACATGGTTCAAATACTTAGTCCTTGTTTGGTGGAGATTAAATCATTTTTAGTAAATTTTAATAAAAGATGATAGAATGTGTGATCTAAAAGTTGTGGAACCAATGAAATATATAGTTAATATTGATTATTTATTTAAATTAAAATATAATTTTAATCAATATCAAAGAGGGGCTTAAATCAGAGCTGAATCGAACCGTCCAAACCACTACAGCTTTAACCTTTTTGTAAATAATAAAAATGAAAATAAATAAAACTCGAAGTCAGAAAAGATAAACCTAAAAATCTCTCTAATCGGCTAAGGTCATAAACAAAAACTGCCAAATCAGAAAATCGAATAGAAACCGCATGGTTTTGAACTAAACCAAACCAATCAAAAACGGTTTGGTTTAGGTTTGAGAGTTTTAATTGCGGTTTAAAATCAAACCGGACCGACAAAAAAATATATAAAAATAAAAAAATGAAAATTTCTGAAAAATCTAAATATGTAAAATCAATAGTTTTGTCATGTGTGAGTATTTTTGTCAATATCTAACTTTCTATTACATATATATTATTATTACCCTATAATCCTANATTACATATATAGCATTATTATTATTACCTAATAATCCTAATTTATTTCTAATAATTTCAAGACTAACCTAATATATGAAAAGTCATTTTTCTCTTTAGAATTCAAATGAATTTCAGTCAACATCGAACACAGCCTTGAGCCACCAGCACCACACCAAATTGAAGACAAAGAGATCATGGGTCTTCGGTGATAATATTTGCTACGAATAAAGTTTCAGATCGATAATTTTTTTGAGTAAACTGAGGTAAGAAATCTAAAATTATATGAGTTTCGCATTTCTCTCAAATATTGGATGATTGTGAAATAAATTTATTCGCTTTGATGGAAATAGTTTATCTACTATGTACTTGATTCTATTCTATTCGTGTGGGCATACTCTTGTTTTGTGATTGAATTATGCATGATAAAATATGTCAATAAAAGTTAAAAAGTGTTCATGTGCAATTTGAAATGTGGATGAATTGTTTAATAAGCTAAAAAAAATCAACAATAACTCCAGTGGCAACTATACTTGTATCAATTTTATTGTCGTGTTATATTGTATGCTTAGATATTTTGTTAAACTGTTTCTTTAACTGTTTTGAATTAACAAGGATGATATATATTCAGTTAGCCTATTAAAGACTTGGATTTTGATCCAGGAGACGTAAAGTTTATCATTTAAGGTGTTGCTTTATTGGTGTCTCAATAATTGTATTATGGAACTATATGCTTTCAAATAAATATTTAGTTTATAGGTGGTTTGGGCCTTATATTTAGTTTATTAGACTTAGATTATAACGTTATCGTAACGTCTTGGCCTAAAAACGGTGAACAAAAAACTATTATTATGATTTCACTTGAATTTAGTTGATATTTAAATTTATAATAGATATATTTAGTAAATAATGTTATTCATTCTCATTTGGGTTACAAACACAGTTTAAGTGGCGTTAATGTGACATTAAACGATATGTGAAATTAAATAAGTCATTTAGTGCGTGTTTGGCAGGGATTAAAATCGAAATAAAATTGAAAAATTAATCGTTATTGTTGATTTTTATTAAACAAGTGAGACCCAATAACGACTATATTTTCAATTTTAATTGGATTTTAAACTTTGTCAAACATACTCTTAATTTCACCTTTTATTTAACCTTTTTTTAGAACCACTTAAACTGTGTTTGTAACCTCCACTGAGAATGAATAACATTACTCATATTTAGTTGTTTTAAATTTATTACTAGTAAGATACAAATACATATTGAATTCAATAAATTAATGACATAAAAGTAGACAAATAAAAAATATACGATGAATTCGACGATTTAAGATCGGATCAAACTATTAGGTTTAGATTTGAGTTCTTTTTCAAACCGTTCAGTTTGATTTAGGTTTGTGCATTTGTCAAACGGGATTAAACGGTTTGATTTGAGTCTCTATCGAAAAATCGGTAAAATCGTACCGCTTGAACCTATAATCGATCCTCTCCAATTTCTCTCCGTCTCCTACTCTCCCGTTGCAATCCAAATCCAATCTCATAAGTTACTTCCAAATTCCATCACTCCGTCTCGACTCTACAATCTCACCGTCTCTACACCTGAAATAGCCGCCGCCTCTACGCATCTACTACTCGTCAGTCTCCATCCTCCGGTGCCAAAGACTGACCATTCCATTTCCAGGCTCCCCGACTCGCCGCCTCTACGCTGTTATATCTCACCTTCCAAATGGTTCAGGTGTGGAAAAATTTGATTTCGTTAATCTTACTCTGCCTCTATGCCGCTATATCGTCTCTATGCCTTTTAGATTCTTGGAAAGTTGATATTAATTTTCTATGGGAATGTTGTGTAACTTTGTAATTCGTGATTTGTAATTTGTTGAACCTTTGTAAGCAGTAATATGTCATTCCACTATTATTCTGTTGAACCACGGTAAAGATGAAATCTGAATATGTTGCCTTTATAAGTGAAATTTGATATCTGTAAATGTAATACCATATTCAAGATTGTTGAATGCATCCAATACAATTTTTTTCTGGTTCTTGGCTGTGTTAGTGGTTGAATTGAATGGTATATATTATGTGTGTTATATCGTTTTCTTCGAGGCATTGAGCTGTAGATCTCCTTGACTCTTGAGGCATTGAATGGATCAAGGGACTAATGCAAAGCTTATACAACGACCTATTGGCTGCATACTAACATTCAAGACTGGACAACGAGCTATTGGTTGCATACAGAAGTTGGCTGAGTAAAGCTGAAGCTGTTTGCTGAGCATTGAAGTCTGATTCTTAGTTACTGCTTATTTGTTTAATTAATTGTGGTCGTTTTGAGTCTTAATTATTATCTCTTGTTCATTGTTTGTGTCCATTCTTTATAATGCATATTATCTAGAAACTAGAAGTCCAAACCGATTAACCGAACTGAGCCAAACCAAACTGATTTGGTTTGTAACGGTTTGGTTTGAGAGCTAGTATGGATTGGTTTGGGTTGAAATTCACCCAAATCGACTAATTTGGTTTTGATTTCGGGTTGAAGCCAAAACTAACCCAAACCAATCCACAATCAGGCCTAATTATACGACATAAAAGTTTTCCCTATATCATTTTCAGCTCATTCACAAGAAATTTGTGAGAAAACTTAAAATGATATCATCGATAAAGTTATTGTTGTATACAATAGTCCTGTTGGTGTCGCCCATCTATACAATCTATGAATATTAATTTAGTTAGAAGATTTTATTTATACTACATTGTCTCTAATATGCCCCTTCTAGATGTTGGTCCGTCGGTAATACCAATCTTGGACCGAAGTAAGTAGAGTTGTACACAAGATAAGAATTTGGTGACGGCATCATAAGATGTTTTGAATCGGGGTCATTAGAGACTCTCTAAGCACTAGTATAAAAAAAAATGAATGTCCATCTAAATATGCTTCATTTTGGTGATGCACCAAGTGTCTCACCGAGTTCGGAGAGAAAGAACTTGATCTATAGAAGTTCAGATGCAATACTGGCAATAGAACGATACTTAGCTTCTGCGGAAGAATGAGGAACGTATTTTTGCTTAACGAGAACTCAAGGCAATCGGATTAAGGAAAACATGGGCACTTGTAGAGATACAATCATCAACATTCCCCGTTCATTTTGCATTACAGTCACCCCAGGAGGCTCGGGCCCTGGTTTTTGACTCGGAGTTCAGAGCTAAGCTTTCAGATTTGGGTTGGCAAAATTGGAGCTTGAGGGTCAATTTGGGCACTGATTTGCATAGTTAAGATTTGGGAAGAGTAAGTGCTTTTTGGAAACTCGATAGGACGTTGGGGGATTGAAACCCTAGCAATTAGATTCCAGTAGGGTCATGAAAATGATGCTCTGGATTCGCAAGCTTCCTGTTCTACAAAAAAGTAGTTTTAAAATATATCATAATGTAAGAGGATTAGCCTTGAGTTCATTACATTTTAATGGTAATTCAAGTAATAAGAATTATAGTAAGTATGGGAAAGCAAAGGGGAAGGAGCCGTCGAGTAAAGAGAATGGTGGAAGCATTCGAGTAGTTTGTGAATTGTAATGATAGCTTGAGTAATATGGATTATATTAAGGAGATAAAACCAAATGCTATATTTGTTGGGAACATTAGAAATAGTAATAGCTTGGTTGTGTATGGTGTAAAAGAGAATTGATAATGAGGTCATCATTCGATGTTTTCAAAGTATGAAAAGCCATAGAAACAATTGTAAAAAATTTAATCTTTAAAATTATCGTTATTGTCTATTACAAAACTGTAAAACAGAATCAATGGTAGGATTGGGGAAACGTGGTTATCGTTTATTAGATAAGGAAATAGGTCAATCCTTGCAAGCAGGGGATTTGGGCAAGTACAAAGAAGCATATTTATCATGTAGGTAAATTTGAATTTTTCTCCACAAATGGGGAGGATTCTGAATTTGATTACCACTAGTCTCTCTGTTTCAAATCCTATTTATAGGATTTTAGATTTAGTTATTTGTCATTATTCATTGTGTTTTATATTAATTCTTTTCTAGTTTCAATTGTGAATTCTTGTTGTTTGAATATTATTTGCTAATTCGTTGTTCTAATTTTCGTTTGTTTGCTTTAAATTGTTTCATTATGGATTTTCAATATGTTTACAGCTAATTTTCTGCATTTTTTAATTAATTTTTTGTTTAATTTTACTGTTCCGTGTCAATGTTTTACGTCTTGCGTCACAGAAAACGGAACACCCCAATATCCAATTTAGCCTTATAAAACTTACTTCCATGTTTTTTTTTTCAGATTAAAAAACAGGACAGGACAGGGATGCCTAAGAGAAGTCAAGAAGCCAAGAGAGGATCCTCATCCAGTCAAATGGATCCGAATGCCCCCAAAATGGATATTAAGTCCATCATGAAAGATATAGAGTTTTTGGGTACTGCATTTCTCTTGATTGTCATTTTACGTTACTTAGTTTTGTGATTCTTTGGCAAATTGAATACATAATCCATTGCTGGTCCTAACTATTAGGTGATGATGTTATTGCTTATACATATTCTTGTTCTTTCCTTCCAAGTCAGGCAGGACGAAAGAGTAAAAATTCTTCTTGTTTGCTTGTTATTATGTACTTCGTTCAGTGATATGACATTACTGTGTTTATATTAGGAATGAAGCTAATAACGACATATTTGGGCTTAAAACAAGTTGTCAATATCTTCTTTATAATTTGAATATTGGCTGAGGATTCAACATTTAAAAGAAATGTTTTTCACATATTTGATCAAATCAAATTTCTAATTTTTGGTTTCCCCCTAAGGATATGTACACTTTATGGTATGTTACGGGTGGTCTATTGTTGGTGTTGTTGATTGGAGGATGCTCTACTGCATAGAATCGGTTCTAAATTGTTCCATCAACAGTGAAAAAGAGAGCATGTTGTATTCGATACGAGCCTGTGCTTTTTGGTTTTCATGAGAAACACTTTTGAACCAAAGTAGCATCTTGTATCTGTAATAATTTCTAAATTTTATGTTGTACTACTATTATTAAATATGTGCCTGGTAAGAAATTGTTCTAATGATTATTATTTTACACTGCGAGGGGTGGGGGGTGTACTTAGGTATGGTCTCTTGCTCCATTGTGTTAATACTATTTGAATATTTTATGATATGTTAGCTGCGTGTCTATTACTGTCTTTGAGATTTGAATCTTCCAAAATGTAAACCTAGTGATTTGGTGAATTTGAACATAGTGAATTGTGGGGGAAGCACTTTGCATTTCGTGGTACTTCAATTTTGCGTTGCTGACTTCACCATTTCCTTTTAACTACTGAGATTTCTATGCTTGTGGATAATGTTTATATATAGTTGGATACGACTATACAATACTATTATCAAGATTTTGGCTTCTTTTTCCTTATTACTACTGTTTGCTATGGTCCAATCCACCTTACAAACATACCAAAAGTGTATTTTTAACTTTTGTACTGCTTTAGGGTCATCGCATATGACATGGAAACAGAGGAAGGAGTTGGAAAACCGGAAGGTCGTTTCTCTTGGTGGAAAGGTTAATACTGCCTGTTTACTTCGACATTAGTAAGATCTCCATTGCTGTATGCATTAACATTTTTTTCCCCCTTGAACAGCCTCAAAAAACGCAGAAATTGCCTCTTAGTGTAGCGCGAGTGCAAATGAAGAAACAAAAGGAAAGAGAGCAGAAAATGCTCCAAGAGGTTACTACTATACTCCACTTTCTCATCAAATTGCTATTGTCTAGTGTATGTTGCTGATGCTGCATTTTCGAGTCTTGACATTTTGTCTAACTGCTCTTTTAGAATGCAATACTTGGAAGATTTGGAGGTTATCATCATAGTAGTGGTATTAAAAAGGCGACGGAGAGGCGCCGACAGGAGGACACAGTGCTGAAGTCGACTGAAGGTCATTTCAGAAATGGTGTCCTTGATGTCAAAAGTTTATTGAAACCTTCTGCACCTAGAGTCACCAATGAAAGCAGCAGCAAACATATTATTGGCAAAGGGAAGAAAAAGAAGGGCGGTAAAAAGAGCCATGGTAAGAGAAAGAATGGTGGTAAGAAGCGGCACTAGACATCTATGAAACATATTACTTGGGGTCGTGTTTCTTACCTTCAAATAAACAGACTCGTTCTCAGAGTGAGCTTTCCTGGTGAAATTTTGTGTCATATTTCCAACTAGTAGATGAACGGCTCATGCTTTTAGGATTCACATTATAAGATTGATATAGGTTTTGTACTGGGCATTGACTCGCTTCAAGGTTGTAAACATGGGCGAAGTAACATACAAATTTTCTTTGTTTCTTTGCTTTTTCCATACAAGGTTTCTAGTTGTAAACGTGATAAACGAACCCAAAAACCCTTATTTCATTCTCGTGCAGAATCAGATGACATCTAATCTCAGATCCAGCGTCTATTGTGGCTTTCCGAGCTGTGGGCGCCTTGAAACCACCGTTCCTAGCTAACATCGGCTGGACCTCTGGTCCTGCAGAAATTTAACTCCGTTGATCACATTTTACTTCATATTCATCCTTCTCATAAGTGTCTACGATATGAAACTGAAAAAAGCAGTCGAGAAGAATTCTTACATCGGAAGCAGGGAAAGATGCTTAAAGGTTTTTTCAGCAAATGGTTTGAAGGATTGATCAAGCCTTGTTACAGAAAATATCAAAGCACAAAGTATTTTCTACTCAAACTTGAAGAACACGAGGGAATTTAAATATGAAGAAAATTGATTGATTTCTTTTGCTTTGGAATGATATATAATTTCAATAATGAATTTTCATAGTTTTCCCATAAACAAGGATCGCTTATTTATAGCTTTCATAAATTTGGTACAAAAATTGTGTTAAAATTATATGAAAAACCACCAATTTAAAAAACATAACGGCTATAAAAAAAGTTAAAAAAAAGGTCAAAATTTTGATTTATGTGGTCGCATAGGTTTAACCGCATAGTAGAAACCGTACCGGGGCCTCAAGTCCCGGTATATATACATGCAGGGGCGGAACCAGCCCATCAAAGTAGGGAAGTTTGTACTTTGTGATGGAGAAAGGAAATTAAATAACATAAATTAATATACACTATTAACAAAAAAATCAAGAAACATATAAATTATCAGAAGTTACATACTCGAATTTGAGCTCATACGTAGATCGGATTTTCCTTAGTAGCCTTGAACTCATCAAACTTGCACTCAAACAATAAGACGACATATAAACTCAATAAAACCCCAAATTAAAACATGTAGAAGACCCAATTTAATTTTCATGGTCAAAATTCTACATTAATGGTACTTGTATATTACGATACAAATTATTATCATGGACGAATACAGGAAGATCAATGCAAGAACGTAAATACTGCAATTAAAATATGAAACATTTTCAAGTGAAGCAATCATATTACTCAACTTCATACAACATAATGTATAATAACTAATGGAGTACAAAAAGCTATTGAAGCAATTTTAGACTAAACTAAAATATGCATTATCAAATAAAATATATCCTTGTTCTAATTAAACTATTTATACACAAAAAAAAATTTGTCAAAAATTGAGGGGGGTCCAGGACCCCCCCCCACCTCCGCCCCTGTATCCATGCGACCGCATGGTTCAGTGAACTATGTGGTCGTATAGTTCATCCATACAATCTCTTGTTCTACTATTCATTTTACACTCGATTTTCTCAATTTTAAACAACAATTTCCAATAATTGATACTGGGACAAGAACAAGCTAGAGGGAGTAGAGACCAAGAAAAAATGAACGAGAGATCCTAGATCTTTGATAGAGAAAGCAGAAGCAAGCATAGTTATGAACCTGTCATAATTATAGAAAATTGATGGGTCAGCTTTTGAAATAGTAAAATCCTAGGCAAGAAGAAATGAAATTTAATTTATAAAATTGACCACAACAATTTCATTTTTATACATAGTACCTTATCTTTGAGGGGGTAATAAATTTCAATTACTAATTTGAAATTATTTGAGATATCAGCCTTGAGAATTAAAGTGAATAATCAGGAAGATATTTGTCATATGGTATCCGTAACCTATTTAGGATGCATGACCGTGACCTCAAGAGATCAATAATTCGACATTTATTGTTGAATTAATATTGCGATCTAATCACGTAGGAATGTTGATAGAAAATGGAATTTGAGAATTTATATATATTTGAAAAATGACATTTTGGTCTTTTATTTTATTTCGAATATTAGACTTGTTATATGGTTTAATACGTAAGAACAATAAGTCAAATGAAATAATTATTGTCTTTGTATGGTTTCAGTAATTTCAATTAGATTGATAGTCCAATGTCGTTGTTTTAGTGAAATAGAGTATAATTAATAAAATATTTCGATCAGTCAAAAGTTAATCGGGTTTACAATTGGATTCCAAACCTTTCACTTGTACTTCATAACACTTTTTACATTCACCTTTTATTTGTGACACTCAGAGTCCCAAACCTTTTAATTCAAAAATTAAAAATTTTAATTCATTTTTGTCTCTCCTTTTATCAATCATATATTCTCTCAATAAAATAATATTACTTATAAACCCAAAAATTCTCCTTGATTTTTAATCACGTATTTTTCAAAAAATACTATTTCAAAATCAAAATTTTCATATAATGGAGTTCAAACAATGGCATATTAATGTTCAAGTATTGTTTATTTTTTTTGTACCCACACACATAATTTCTCTTTCAAGTGCTGAGTTTTTCAAGAACACAGGAAAAAAAGGTCAAATTATTTGAAGTTGGGGGGTAAAGTCAGAGCTAGACTAAAAAAATTTTAAATATACAATAATTTTTATGAAAATAAAGAATTGGACAATGGATTGTGGCCTCGGCGCCTCGCCTTCCTACCAAGGGAAACTTTTTCTTTTTTCACTTGATTTTAAGACATGATAAAACGATCAAGTAGCTTAATATATTTTTTATTTTCATCGCTTAAAAATCCAATCTCACAATTCTAAATGAGTAATGCTAGCTTGTTATTTCAGGCAATAAAATTACTAAAGACAAAATATCACATAAGACGACTACTGTCTGTATTTGCTGACTATGAATAATATTATTCATTCTAAATAGGTGGGAATCAAAACTTTAATTTTGAAAATTGAAAAATTAAATGGGGAGAGTCAAATTACTCAACTTCACAAGTTGAAAAATGAATTAAAAGTCGAATTGCGCGCACACCATTTGTCCATGTTTGGCCCTCGTTCTCAAATATTCATTTTTCAAAACTCGTTTTCAATTATAAATTAAACGTCTCACAACTTTTATTGCTTTTTTAATCGCACATCTTATCTATTTTTATTAAAATTTTTCTTTTTAGCTTCACCAAACACATGCTTAGCTAATAAAGCGTGTGAAATAGCATTTCTGGTTGATTCAAACCAAACAAGAAAATAAAGCCAAAAAAATTTAAAAACAATTCCTCAGTCACAGCCATTTTGTAATTTGTATACTTTCTCCCATCATCTCAACTTCACTTTCAGACTTGTTCTTTCAGAAGCTCTAGTTTATCAGGTTCTGTCTCTGTCCTCCCGCATATACATATATGAATGATTTCTAGGCGATATCTCTAATGTCTGTCTGTACACTACTGGGTAACTGTGAATTTAATGGTTGATTTTGATGATTGATGTCATATATGGTTTCAGTGTGAATTTTCTTTCTTTCTTTTTTCTTTTTACTTCTATTTGCTAATTGGTTTAATTATACTTTTTAGACTTTGTCTAGAGCTTTTTTCGCATGGAAAATCGTCCATCTTTTATAATTAAAAGGAAGCCCATATTAATTAATTTTTTTGCCATCATTTTTTGTGAATAGTCAAGATATGAGCACCCTTTAATCGGAGTTTTTCCAACTGAAAATAGGCAAAAGAAATAAGTGAAATTATATGTATATATAGTAGGTATATATTTCACTAGATTTTATACATTTTTGAGGCTTTTCATTTGATTCATTTATTGGGTTGACTGTTGAGTGTGTATATTAGAAAATAAGGGAGTAGTTGATAAAATTCTTATAGAACGAAAAAAAAAAGACTAAGCAAGTGTTAAACTAAGAACCAGAAAGAAACACCACGCCATTTGCTTTAAAGCCTAACTAAATTATTTTTTTCTTCATATTTAAATTGGAAATCATACGATGGTTTAATGTTTTTATGATGTCTAATTGCTTATCTCAGTATCATCTCCCTCTCCCCCCTCCTCTAGCAACTTGCACGATGCTTTTTAACTTCGATATCGCAGTTTGCAGGAGCCTGATAGCCAATTTGGTTTACAGTTTTGCTACAGTTACATTTGACATCTTTGTTTACATTCCATGATGTGGTACATAATTTTGTCATTGATTTCAACAACACTTAAAACAATCAATCACATCGATTTTGCCACACCAAACAATGTCAAACTAGTTGTACACAATGGGTGTACAACCAGTTTAATTCTTTGGTTTATGCAAATTGTATCTAGATATTGTACAGTAGTCTGACATTGTTTTTTGGTCCAGAAAGGGAAAGACACTCTTCATGTTTGTAGGAGCTTGATGATTTAGTCTCTTCAAGCACTAACGAACTTTTAGCGATAGAGGGCTCTAGACTAAACACGGATAAATGGAGGAGATTCAGTTGTATACCAACTTGGATGATGTCATTTGTCCCATATGCCTGGACTTTCCGCATAACGTTGTTCTCCTCCAATGCACATCACATGGAAAAGGATGTCAGCCTTTTGTATGCGACACGGACCATTTGCATTCAAACTGTCTGGACCGTTTCAAACAAGCAAATGGAATGTTATCTGGTTCACGATCACCAACTTCTGCTGAGAATTTGAATTCTGGATTCAACAGTAAACCGACCTGTCCCTTGTGTAGAGGAGAAGTTACTGGATGGGTTGTTGTTGAAAATGCTCGTATACATTTGGACGAGAAGAAACGTTGTTGTGAAGAGGAAAAATGTTCATTTATAGGAACCTACTTGGAACTTAAAAAACATGCCCAAATAGAGCATCCGCATGCACGCCCTTCGAAAGTTGATCCTGCACGCCAGCTTGATTGGGAAAATTTCCAGCAATCTTCTGAGATCATAGACGTTTTAAGCACTATACATTCAGAAGTCCCACGGGGTGTTGTTTTGGGTGATTATGTGATAGAATATGGGGATAACTCTGACGATGAATTTGATGACTTCCATGGGGATAAAGGAAACTGGTGGACATCTTGCATATTGTATCAGGTATTTGAAAAATTTAGAAAATCTAGGAACAGAAGAAGGTCAAGAGTGAGGGATTCCAGAAGAGGAAGCCTCCGTTTGAGTTATGACACTTCTAACTCTGATGAGGGTTCTGTATCATCTGTAGAACATGCAGAATATAGAGCAGATGAGACTGATGATGAGTTTGCCAGTGCAAGTGAACTCTCAAGGCGGACAGCTGGTCTTCACAGGTGAGTTACTGTGTAAATGCTACCTAGGTTTCCTTTCACTAATGATGTATTGTTCAATTATTCTCGTATATATGATTTCTAATCTTTTGATGTTTTTTTCATTCACTGTATCTAGATAAATATAATACCACCCAAGAAATGAGAATGCAAATTAGATTCTCGACATTTAAAAATAACTTAACAAGCAATCAACAAAAATAGTTGTAGGCTTTTACTAATATCTCAACACTGGTGGTTCTTGGTGCTGGTGAGGTATTTATTAATGATATTTCTATCGATAATTTTGTTTCTGTTTTTCACTATATACTGAAGCGATATATCAGTTGATTGATAACATGGAAATTTCATTCTCAAGATTGTCCTGTAGCACATGGATCTGAAAATGCGTATAACCATATGCATCTCTTCTTAGTTTTGGCATTTGTGATATATTGCTTGAGGCAGCAGTGCTGGGACTATTATTTCAGTGAAAAGTTTCTTAGTTGATGTACATGTTAAAAACAGTTGTTAGCTTTTACTAAAATCCCAAAATTGGCAGTTCAAGGTGTGGCAACATGTCCTGATACTTGTTTGATATCACCTTAATATACTTTTTGACTTTTTATTCGTGAATACTGAGTGATATTGCAGTTGATGGGTAAAACAGAATAAGTATTGTCATGATTGTCCTGTAACACCTGGATTTTGAAACATGTCTAATAACGTCATATCTCTCATTTTCTCTGGGCATTTGAAATTTAAACGCATGATTCAGCCATTATTCTTATTTATCATCGTGTGCCTAAGTGTAACATTGCCCCCCACACCCCCAATGTCTGGAAACTGCAGGGAATCGACTAGTATTTGAATGAATAATCTTGGCTGTTATACATGTTAAAATTTGTTTCTATCTGCCTGCCAAGAATTTTCAAAAAAGGTTAGATCTTCTTCATTATGGTTTCTATTTTTGTGTATTCCGACCATATACTGTAATGTTTTTTGACTTGCAGAGTCATTATAACTTAATGAAACTGTTCAAAATAAGGAAGTATTCATGTGATCTTTGTTATTATCATATTTTCAAGGTCTCGTTTGACTAAAGACAGGGATTTCTAGCTTGAGAATCTCACTCACAAGAACAGATAAAGTGACGTGGCTGTCTTTTTTGACTCCGATTTTGCGTAACCATGATTACTGAAATCTCCCGTTAAAATATCACAATGAGCAAAGTTCTTTGCTTTAAGTTGCAAATTTTCCTAATTTTGATTTCCATGTGCTGAATTTTAGGCATTGCAGTTCTCGAAGGCGCCATTCCCGCTTCTATGACAATTAGGTAGGCCATGTCCAGGATGCCTTACATTCTCCTTTTTTGCAGTATTATTTCACTTTGAATGGCTTTTGGTTATAATAACTTGTTCAAAATATTTAAATCACATTGTAGGTATCACCTTTTCGATTTTTTATGTCATAGTTCCCTATCAAACTTCAAAATTATAAGGAATTGCCAGTATATAATTGTATTTGTAGCTTGATACTGTTGTTTATATCTGATCACAATCTTGCATATTTTTTATGTCACAGAATGGACTGTAGCCGTGGAGAAAGCTTTTAACAATGTTGGTTGAAGGAAACTCGTGGGGGTGTATGTTTGGTGCTGCTGGTGATGCATAGAGTTGTATACAATTATGTATTTGCTATGATTTTCTTTTTACTATTTGTTCAGTTCTCTCCCTTGTTTTCTTCATTAATGGTAGGACATAACATTGGACACTGAATATTTTGTTGGGAGACTGCTTTTGATTTTTTGATGATCAGGTTGAATTCGACAGTTTAGTGAATCTTAGTATTGTTATTGATCCGATTTCATTTATGCCGGTGTGTTGTCCATGCACCAACTTGGAAGTCCTTTGTGTATAATTATCATGTACGTGCGACCTTGACCTGGATATTTATTGCCTTGCATCTGTGTTGGACTTGCAGAAGCTCAAAGGCCGAGTTTCTCGATTTGAACTTGCAAGCCAGCTTGGGTTTGGTTCAACATCTGGCTAGATACGACACTTAAAACAGAGCTTGCCAGACCCGCCGGACTGCCTCAAAACCGGGCTGGATGCATCTTGTTTGTTGTGAAATCAAAGAGTCCTACTCGACAGGCTCAAGTTCAGAAACAACCGAGTCACGTATTTGATGGAGTTGGTATGAATAACGCAGTATGAATCAGATCCTTAATATCAAAACTTTCAAAACATGGACACTTCAATCTCAATAATTTTTAAAGTTTATCCACTATCAAAAACTAAAGGATGCCACACAAAACTAAACAATAAATAAATACCAAAAGTTTTCTCAAGATGCTAAAGACTAATATGGTACATTATTGGGAAGGTTGCGGATAACGTTACTCTTCATACCAATCTTAGAGCGCATAGCCTCGACCCCAGATTTAGTCATCGCCTTCATTACTTTCAACCTAACCATGTGCTCCCTCGACTGGACAGTTGCCAAGCCCATGCTCTTATACCTGAAGAAGAAAACAAATTTTTATTGAGTCACGCCAGAGATGAAAAGTGAAGGGGGTCACGGGTGGAGAACTAGGGGCCTTATTAAGAGACTCAAAACTCTTCTGAGAAACAAGTGCTTGTGTACCTTGAGGCTAGTGCAGCAGTGATTGCAGTATTATTTGCAGGTGTTGGACGCGGTTTCTGACGGTAGTATCTTAAATACTCCCTTGATCCAAGCATTCTGGTTGATATTGCACCATCATTTCTTCTGGTTATAACGAGCTCAGAGCCACCACTACCAAGTTCAACAGTGTTGCTCGTATCATTGACTGCAATTAGCTGCTTCCCATCTGTATCCACGTAACTGTACCAAAAAGAAAAAAAATTCCAGGTTACTCACACTGGCAAACATAATTATTTAGGTTTTTTTTTTTTAGTTAAAAGGTAGGTAAAAGTTGTGGTTCTAAGGAACGCATGGTTAAAAATGATGTTTGATAAGCTTATAAGAACTTGAAAGCTTTGCCAAACATACACTAAGAATTATCAGAACTAAAAAACAAGAACCTGCTACTGTAATCATAAAATTCCTCCAATTCTGCTTCTTCATCTTCACTACCATCCCCATAATGCACCTTGCAATGACTTTTTGCCTCCATATGCTTCCGAACTGCCTCTAAGCTACTGAAAGGATGACATCTGTCGTTGCAGTATAAACACATAAAATCTCTCTTGACCTGAAAAAGGTAAACAGAAAGAAATGAAGCCCGAAGCATGCACAAACAAAAAGAAATAGACGTTGTGTAAGGTGAATAAAAAAGGAAGATACTTTATCACAAAAAACTCAGTTTAGCATAGAAATAATGCTATTACCTTAAGTCCAAGATATGTTAGAAGCCCACGAGGATCCTTCAGATACTCAACATCTGGAATGAAAAACCCGTGCTGTTTGTGCATGTGAACCGTGCAGCTCTCTATTGTATCGTGTTGTAAATCACACATGAAGCAACAGGACGCATCCAACAATTCATCATCATCGTCTATGCCATCCTCATCCATAGCATCATTTGAGTTGTGCTCCTTTACTTTTAATTGTGTCAAAGAATCAGCGGCTTCTCCAACTAATTCATCCTCTGAATCCACCACTTCCCATTCACTCTCTTCACTCTCTTCACTTTCTTCAACTTCCTGCTCTACATGATGTGGAGACTCTCTTGCAACACGACGCACTAGAGGCTTGATTATTGTAGCCCCTTCATTGTTGCTTGTTCCTTCGGAAGCCCGAATCAAGTGACTTTTAGATTGTAGATGCTGAGCATGAGCTTTGGAACTTCTGTATCCTTTCCCGCAAAGGCCACAACTATACATCAAGGGGGTTTCATCTAATTTCTTTTTCTCTTCTGCAAGAGCAGATTGTCTTGCTAGAAAAAGTGATTCAGTTACTCCAGGAACACCTGCAACCTGATTCAAGAAAGAGAACGCAAGTTAATAAAAATGTAATATCCAGTAAATCGAAAGAAATATTCAGAATCTCAAATTGATATATTGGACTGTGCCAAACAACTCATTAACATACATAATTCCCAAAAACATATAAAGATCCAGGAGATCTCCAATGTATATTCAGCATCAGATATAAAGCTACAAATATAACAGATTCTAAAACAAGTTTACTCAGCAAATCAGCAAAGAAAGAAGAACACATAATTAAGAAAAAGAAAGGAAGTACGTTTTTCAGGGAAAGCAACAAAATTATCCCAACATCGCCAATAATAAATTCTCTTCTGGTAGGATGGAACGGGCTGACGGCATCTTAGCCACCAAAAGAAAATTCCAACACTAAAGCTCCCATTTTGAATGGATTAACTTCTCATCTACTGCTACCGAGCCTACCGTATTCTAAATGTAGCCCCCTACATGCATGTTAAAATTGGATCTTCAAATTAATATCTTGTTCTTACTTTTATCATCTCTATAGATGTAATATTGTAGCCACTAGGATCTTTTCTTAATACAATGAATATTGATAGCAATCAATAAAGCACACTGCATCTCAAAAGGGAACAACAACCATGTAGCAAATGCATTGGAGATGGATCGTCCCCAGATGTTAAACGGAAAGTGTAAAATCCTCATTCAACAATACATCATCCAAATCAAAAATAGTAAAAAATTAAGATTTTGTTTTGGATACTGTTGAGATTCGAATCAAAACTTAATTGCCAGATCAAAGAGTTCAATTTTCATTGATTTTTATTTATGTTACAACATAAATTCCCTCATAATTTTCCCACAAATAAAACACAAAATAAAATTATAATCCTCGCCTCCCCCTCCCCCACCAAGAAACAAAACATGGACAGAAAAGAAAGAACTACTGTTATCCTATTATACAATTTCCCAACAATAAGTTTTCAAGAAGCTTAAATGTTTCAAAAGAATGCACATGTAGCAACCCAAAATCTACAAAACCTACTAATTTTCCCATGCACACTTGTATTTTTTTTTTCTCTCCACACCCCATTCCTGCAGCTGCAGAATAATTATCACTCACATAAATCCTAATTCCCGAGGTGAAACCCAATCGATAAATAATTCTTAAAACGCTACTAAATCAAAATTATAAACTGAATTATCGAGTGCCCAAAAAAAACAAAGAACAAGAAATCATAATATTAAATTAAAAATGAGCCCAGGATTCAAAAACTCACCTTGCGTTTGAGGTTGTAGCGATGCCATTCGGATTTGTAATGGATTTTTTGGTCCGCATCGTCCTGGAATTCTTTGTTGCAGGCGTTGCATGTCAACCCCGGCATCCTTTGGTATAGGGTTTTGATTCAAGAAAAGTGTGAAATGAAATGGGAAGATCTGAATTGAATGTATGATATAGGGTTTGGTTTTTTGATATAGCCCCTTTTTGGCCCTATTCCTCGCTATGCGCTTGCGCAAGCGTTTAAGAAAATTACAAAGTAGTCCCTAATCTATGAAGATTGGTGCAACATCATCCCCAACCTAAAAATGGGAATCAAGTAGTCTACGCGCTTGCATCATTTGCTAATGTAGTATAATTTACATATTAAGATTGATGGTTTCTTACCAACTAAAATTTTAAACATTGACATCTATTTAGACTAAGCCCCCAATATGATTTTGCTTAAAATCAGATTTATAGTAAATTTTGATATAAATTGATAAATGTGTGAGTGAAAAATTGATAAAAGCTTTAAGTTCCATAAAATGTGTAACTGAAAATAAGTTTAAAAATGAATTATAAAAAAAAGAGACCAAACAAGAGCTAAATATTTCTACGCTTACTCGTAGCTTAGATCATTTATAGATATTCATTCTAGACTCAAAGTAATAAATTCAAGGGAAAATTGCAGTCATGGTACCAAACCTCTCACTTTTTTACAGACTTTGCCCAAACATTTGATTTGTGCCACCCACGGTATCAAACATTTCAAAATGTAGCGGCTGGAGTCCAAATGGATGGAATTTGACCGTTAGTTGACCAAGAATAATAGATTTGACCAAATTTTAAAAGGACAAAATGGTAACTTTCCATTTTTTATATAAAAAAGAACTAAAATAAAATAATTAAATCAAAAACCAAAAAAATCCTATTATCTTCTCCAACCATCCCATCTCACCCCCACCAAACCCAAAACCAAAACTGTCGGGACCACCACCACCTCCTCCTCCCACCACCACGACCGCCGTCACCTCATCCCACCACCACAACCTCAATTACAATTTTCCCTAAATTATATACCACGAAATTATAGATGAATGGAAAAATCTAAAAGAGGAAAACCATGGTAGGTGTTGGATACAGCTGCAATGAAACAATTCCTTCAATCTATACTGATGTACTGTGAAGTGTAAACGAAGAAAACCCATAAATTATTTTTCCATTTTTTCGAAATTTATTTTGTGACTTTTTTGATTTTGGGCAGATGATAACGGTGGTGATAACGGGGTTGAAAGAGAAGAACAGCTCGAGTAGAATGGCTATAGCTAAGTTTATAGAAACTCAGTACATGAACCTTTCACTTTTTCGTAAAAATGAGCCATCATAATGAAGGAAAACGAGGAAATTGTACATAAACTGCTGCATGTGCTTACTTGACTTTTCTTTGTGGGAATGGTGGTATTTCTATTGATCAAACTGGTAAAGATGCCTCCTAGTATCTCAATACCAAGATATAGATAAGTAACATCGAGGAGAAGCAACTCTTTCACATCGCTGCAGAGGATACCACCCTGAATGGCAACTCCCATGGCAACTGCCTGATCAAGATTCACACCTTTACTTGGCGACTTACCAAAGATTTCTAAAACAATTTCCTGGACTTTAGGTACACGGGTCATTCCTCCAACAAGGAGAACTTCATCAACCTCATTTGTTGAAATGCCAACATCCTTTAAACAATTCTTGCAAGGAGACTTAGTCCTCTCGATCAAGTGATTCACTAAAGCCTCAAACTTTGATCTACTCAATGTTATATTCAAATGCTTAGCCCCAGATGCATCGGCAGTAATAAAAGGTAAGTTGATTTCAGTCAGAGACGTTGAAGAAAGCTCTATCTTTGCTTTCTCAGCCGCCTCTTGAAGTCTCTGCAGAGCAAGCTTGTCTTTTGCTAGATCAATTCCCTCAGTTCTCTTGAACTCGCTCACCAAAAATTCCAACAGTGCATTATCAAAATCCTCTCCTCCCAAAAATGTGTCACCATTGGTGGCTTTCACCTGAAAAGAAAATGTGTGGTTACTATCAAACAGGAAATAGAATGAAGTGTTGAAATTGTCAAAGAAATTTTGTATACCTCAAAGACACCATTTGATATCTCCAAGATGGAAATATCAAAGGTTCCACCTCCGGATCAAAAACAGCAACAAGACCCTCCTTGTTGTTCATACCATAGGATAACGCAACAGTCGTAGGCTCATTAATAATTCTCTGCACATCAAGGCCTGCAATTCTCCCAGCATCCTTGGTAGCCTGTCTTTGAGCATCATTAAAATAAGCTGGAACTATGACCAAGGCTTTGTTTACAGACTTCCCAAGATAGGCCTCTGCACTTTCTTTCATCTTAGTCAGAATAAAAGCTCCAATTTGGCTTGGGGAGTACTGCTGCCCATTGGCTTCAACCAAAGCATCTCCATTTGGTGCCCTGAAAATTTTAAAAGGAACCATTTTCATTTCCTTTTGTGTCTGAGGATCATCAAAACGTCTACTAATTAGACGCTTCATTCCAAAAAGCGTGTTTGTCAGATTGGTGATAGACTGACGTTTTGTTGGTGTACCAACGAGTAGCTCTCCTTTTGGGCTAAAAGCAACCATTGATGGAGTGGTCCGAGCACCCTCAGCATTCTCAATAACTTTTGGGTTCTGCAAACAACATGAGTTACAAGAAGTGCATACCAACATTAACAGGTTTAAGGCATATATTCAAATGTAAATAGAGAATTTTACCTTTCCTTCCATGACAACAACACAAGAGTTTGTGGTACATAAGTCAATACCAATCACATCGTTGCCAGCGGGGTTTTGTGCTGTATAAAGAACAGAATTAGCACTGAATTCCAAAAGGCAAGATTATAAAGCCTAAGAGCAACTGTAATCAAATGCAATATACCTGAATGGCCTTGCAAGACCTGCCCACTTTCTACCTAGTGCCCAAGAAGGCTTACTGTTTACAGTCAACTGAAAAAAGCAACAATAGTTACGATACATCTTAACAATTTCGTGGTATATAATTTAGAGAAAATTGCAGCTGAGGTTGTGGTGGTGGGAGGAGGTAACGGCGGTCGTGGTGCCGACAGTTTGCTGGTGGTGGTGCAGACGGCTTTGGTTTTGGGTTGGGTTGGGTTGGGTTGGGTGGGGTGAGGTGGGATGGTTGGAGAAGATAATAGGATTTTTTGGTTTTTGATTTAATTATTTTATTTTAGTTCTTTTTTATATGAAAAAAGGGAAAGTTACCATTTTACTCTTTTAAAGTTTGGTCAAATTTACTATTTTTGGTCAACTAACGGTCAAATTCCATCCATTGGGACTCCAGTTGCTACATTTTGAAAGGTTTGATACCGTGAGTGACACAAATCAAAGGTTTGGACAAAATCTGCAAAAAGTGAAAGGTTTGGTACCATGACTGCAATTTTCCCTAAATTCAATGTAATGAACTCTTTATCTATAAAGAGTATCTTATAAATTATATAGAGCGTCTACAAATTTAAATAGTCAAAATTTTTATGTACTTAAACAATGCTCCCTATTTTATGTCAATGATGAATCAATCTAAATGTGTTTCGAATAATTTAATAAGTAGAGTACCCTAAGAATAAATATTGAGTTTTGACTCTAGAATTTGAATAGTCAAATCTACTTTCTATTCTCTTGAAATTTACTTTTTAAGCATTAACCCTTTAAAAAAATAATAATAATAATTTGTATTTAGAGAATTTCTTAAAAATACTCTTACAAAACGAAGTGAACATAATAAGTTAATCCACGTTTACATACATACACATACATGTGGTTGGAGAATGCCAATTGGCACCTAAGGTTGTGCATCATTTTCGCTCGTACAACAAATACCCATATTTTGGCTACTGTAATCTTTTATTTTCCCATTCATCAACTTTCAAAGCAAAAAAGCTTTCATCATTTTGCTTTAAACAAGGTCATCTCTCTCTCTCTCCAGATTTTCAGAAATTTAATTTCCTGTTCTATGAAATTTTTGGTTTGTGTTTAATGCAATATTTAAATTGATAATATATGAACATAGAATTACAGAGAGTCCCTAGATGGATTAATAATATTCATAATCGTAGCTCATTTTCATTTTTGTATTCATAAATGGTTAAAGAAAAAGGGTTAGTTGAACATCATAAAGAATTTTAGGGGAAAATATGGATGTCTCCTCTAACAACATAGTACATGTCGGTAGAGTCATTTTGTCTTAATGTTATGATGGGCTTTGTGGAGTTTAGTTTTGTTTGATCCGGTTGGCACCGAATAATGTTGCGTGGTTTTTTAATGGGAGATTTTCTTAGTCCATGAAGCGGAGGCTTGAGCCGATAGGGAAAATTTTTTTAGCCCGTTTTATTGCCTATTGTGAATCCAGTGCGAAGAATATATAGAAAACACAGTTTTGGTGATTAGGGTTCTTGATGAGATATAGAGAGAAAAACTGTATGGCCGCACTTTGAATTATTTCCCTGATAATAGTGAAATCCTTGCAACTCCGTGGACGTAGGCAAATTGGCCGAATCACATAAATATTGTTGTGCGTGTGATTGTTTTTCTTTGGCGTGTGTTTTCTTTATTCAGTGTTTTTTACATGTTGGGAATTTCGGGTTGATTCCCTACATGTTATACGTAAAAACATAAGCCACACGACAGAAAGAAAGATCATTCCATTAGCGATTGTGGGTGAGGAGAGATTCGAATTATAACCAAATGTAATTATTTGTGTTACAAATATGTTTTTAAATGCAGGCTATAAAGAAACTACCATTCACATACAAATGGCAACAAGAATTGGAGAGGCGGTTCCTGGAAAGGAGAAAAGGGGAATTTCCCCTTCATACCCCAAGAAAACTCCCAACTCAAAACCAAGCTCTCCTGATAAAACTACATTAGGTAAACAAGTTCCAAATTATCTCAAGCCTACAATAAGTTCAGGTCTTGATGCTTCTAAACAGCTTGGCAAAAAACCGGCTTCGACTGACAACGCCAACAAGCCTAACCTCGCAAGAAGAAGATCCTTCGACATGCCTCCGTCCCCTTCCCATACTCAAAAAACACAAGTTTCGCCCAGTCCTACTCTTCGTTCTTCCTCGTTTTCGATTAAAACGACCACGACTACGCATAAATCTATCCCGGGTAAGTTCTTAAAGATGCCAACAAAGGATGTCGGAAAACGCTCTTTTATTGCTAGACCTTTGAGTACTACCAAGAAGGGCAGCCCTGGCAACAAGAAAAAAGACACTGCAAGGAGCGGTTCAATAACAAAGGATCAAGTCACTAGCCTCGATAACTCTGATGCATTACAAATTGAACTAGGACAAGATGAACAAGAATCTTCAGTTACTGATGCTAAATCTGAAGAGACAGTGCATGAGTCGGGACCTGAGATTTTAGTAGTGGAAGATAAGGAACCTATAAGTATTACAAGGCAGGCTGAACCAGAGAACATCCCGGATGAGGATGTTGTGACTATTGAATCGTATACGGTTCCAGAACAGCCAGATGTCTCCCTTGAAGTTGAAATGAAAGAATTACCAGAAGACAAACCGAAGATTGAAACAACGACAGGAAACCAGCAGGAATTAGAAGAACACATTGTGAATGAAAACAATCACACAGAATCTGATGAAATTCTTGAAGATAATTCAAAAGCAGAAATTGAAGAAAAGGAAGGAGCAAAAGCATTGGATGGAAGTGAAAGTATTGATTCTGAGGAACAAGAAATGAAAGTAGTAGTTGAGGAAGTGAAGCCGGAGACTTACAATGAGGAGTCGAAACAAGAAGTCAGTGAAAAGAGTAGGGATTCCCCTGTTTCAAATGATGTAATTGAGGAGACTGCAAGTAAGCTTCGCGAGCAGAGGAAAAATAAGGTGAAAGCACTTGCCGGGGCCTTTGAAACTGTCATATCCTTGCAGGGCCCAAGTGAAAAGTGAAAACAACCTATAAGGTTAAGTACTGTATGGATAGAACTGCATATGATAACTGATAACAGATAAGCTTCCAACTTCTTTTTCTGCTTTAGTCATGTTTGTCCAGTCAATCATCTATAATGTCATAATAGGCCTAACCTACAATTTCATGTTTCTAATCTTATGTTTTTGTATAAAGCAATATTTGCAGTTTCTCTCTGTCTCCATCTTTAGCAGATTTGCACCAAATTCATATGATTCTTAAAGGTTAAACTGTATATCTTATGTGCACAGAAGACTGAAGGTAGCCTTCATTTGGATGTTATAAACAAGACTTAGAAACCTTATATTTTCTGATATTGCCTCAGAAATTTGAGGAGATACCACAATGAAATATATCTTCGTTTGATGCAACAAATCCATTTGAAATATCTTAAACTTCTGATAAAAAATTGAAACCAGATCACATGAGGGCTTTGCTGAAGAGGATGATTACTGTCTACTGATAAGTTACAGTAACTTTGTCGAGTTTAACACGAATATTTTCTCTACGTTAGCATGGCTCCTACTAAAGACACAATGTGCTAGCTAAAACTGGCAAAAAAACCTCTGCATCCATCTATTGTAATGATTAGTCATTCAAGCTCTAGCTAGCTGATAGCAAAATTATTGGAATGAAATATTGAATCTTGTGTGCAGTAATAAGTGGAGAATGTAACTAATGCAGCATTACTTGTGCAGTAAGATGTTTCTGGTTTCTGTTGTGAACAATAATTTTGGTGTTTGGCATTGTTCATTTGTTTATTGTGAGAAGTTATACATTGGGTATTTGAAATAGATAGCCGAAAATTGGAATATGTGGTGCAATCTTTTCTGCAATAAATTTTTGCCAATATTTTGCTCATGTTTATAAACACTCAAAACTACTTTTTATCATGACATTTCGAAACATTCACACCTACAGCTCACTTATTCATCGTTCATTTGTATTTATTTATATTTTAAACCTTTTATAAATACTTCCCAAACATGCTTGCCCTGAGCTATATGTCCTTTTTGGACGCTCAACTCGGACTATGATTTTTTGGCTGAACCTCAAGATTTCGGGTACAAACGAATTCTTTGAGTTCTTTAATTTCTTGCACTATACTGTGTGATTGTTGGTTGATCTCCGATAGTTAGGCCTATTGGTTAATATCGTTGATCCTCTTTATATGATCAACTTATATTTGTGAGACATCTTCTTCAATTAAACCCAAAATAGAAAAATGGAAGAAACATCGTTAGAGCAATTATATACAGACATAATAATATATGAAGAAGACTATGAAAAGGGAAGGATTATCTTTTATTGTTGAAATTAGGATATATATATACACACACACACCATAATATTTTTTTTTATATGTTGCATCAAACAAATATCTCACAAGAATCAAATAGCTATAAATTTAATAATTAAAATGGTCAAAGAGAATTCACTAAATAACAAATTTGTACTTTGTTTTATTTTAGAATTTGATTATGAATTAGCATTTGAAAATCTTCAAGTTTGACAAGAATAAAGGATACAATTCAGTGTTAATTTCCTTTCATTTTACATTTAATTTAAAGCACAGATTTCAGGATCTCTAGATTCCTTTGAAGAAGTATGTTTTTAATAAACCAACTAATATATATGATTATATCTGTTACGACTTATAAGCAGAAGCACCACGTAGCATCATATTTGAACGGTGGGACCAGCCTAATTGAATCAGGATGCATTTTCCTGGTCTCTGACGTGTCAACCGATGCTCAGTGCTATACCGAGGCCCATTATCAGAGGCTTTCAATGTTAGCCAAGGCCCTTGTTCCGAGGTCATGCACTATCTGAGGCCTAGGGAACCATCACGGATTTGAGGTTCTTTAGCAGTTAGTGATGGCCCACATTTAGAGATTTGCTTATGATGAAGATCTTTATTTTGAATGATTGATGTGACTTTTGTGTAAAGTTTATTTGTGTCTTGTATTGTCAACGTAAGAGCATCTAATGTCTTATAAGGCTAGGGCTTGATGTCTTGGCCGAGGAGATGTTGTGTAAAGTTTATTTGTGTCTTGTATTGTCAACGTAAGAGCATCTAATGTCTTATAAGGCTAGGGCTTGATGTCTTGGCCGATGAGATGATGCCACGTGTAAATTGATTCGAATGTCATTATTTCATTTGTAACACTATAAATACCCCTACCATGTAACACAAGAAAGGTTAATGAAATTCTAAATATTTGGAGCAATATTATTCTCTGGTTTATCAGCATATTTCTACTACAAATCTTGTTCTTTTTCGATTGGTTTCGTATACAATCGTGTTCTATTTATCTTGCTGGAGACCCGAACGGAGACGTCTTGTGTCATTGAGCTCCTCCCACGTTCAGATTCTGGAACCATCCTGACCGTCGATCGGCATTAATGGATTGGATTAGGCTTACGTGTACACGAGTGGGTCCGGCATCTGTTGGCAATATTTTTTGGGGTCAACAATATCGAAATTAAAAAGATCGAATCAAATCACCATAAATTTTTATTCCACCCCATAATCTCTTGACACGGGTGTTATTTCATATTTAATTATAAATTATGAATATTATATTTCAATTATCAATCTAAGTATATAATACGTCGATTTATTAATTTATAAATCTTAAATAAATTTAAATCCTTCTTCAAAAATCCTTAATCAATATCACATGATATAAACTATATCAACTCTAATTAATAAATAAGTTTTCGTTTTAAATTATTAATCATCTTTACTTTCTTAATATTATCATGTTTGAAATAAATAGTTAAAAATTCTCACATTTTAATTTTACCTACTTATGTCAAAAAATTAACATTTTGTCCCATAAAAAAATACAAAATAAATAAATTAAATTAAATTAACATTAGCCTTGATTGTTTCCTGAGGTTGGACAACATTATATATGTTCTCTTATTTTTATAAATAATTTATTTTTGGTTAAATTTTGTGTATATATAAAGGATGTTTAGTGTGGATTAAAATTAGATTTTTAATAGACTGTGATAAAAGTTTTTGAAATGTGTGGTTAAAAAGCTGTTAGATCCATGAAATATGTGGTTAATATTGATTGTTTGATTTTGACTTAGATTAAAATCTGATTTTAATCAGAAACAAACATGGCCATAGCATTTAATGAATGAATTCAATAAGCGTCATGTTCGAATGTAATGAGTAGGATGGGCGTAGGTTGGGATGTTTTGGGTCAATTTTTCATCCAATCCAACCCAATTATTGGTGTAAACCCAACCTAAACCGATCAAGCTTGGGTTGTTTGATCGGTTTGGCCTTGAGCCCAATTCAAATTGGACTTGGTTATTTTTTGTTGAATTTTGACAATTTTTTAAAGTTTGAAATTACTTGAAAATCTGCGTTTTTTATAAAATTAATGTATAAATAAGTTTGAAATTATAGAACATTTTCTTTTTCATATTTTTTTCGGAATCCATTCATTTCATCATTCTATCCTTAAATTTTAGTTTATGGTCAAATAATTTTACATTTGTATTGACCCCAAAAAATGAGATCAACAGATGTTAGACCCACTATTGCCACGTTAAGTACGATCTGATGCGTTTCTACCGAGATATGAACGGTAGTCTAGTTGGAATGGACGCAGGAGGCACTTTCCGGCAAGAGACATAAATGTTCGGACTTTGGCGGTTTGATTTCGACGACACTAGTACTATTAACAAAAGCCTGCTCGATCTTCCCAAACTAACTCCCTCTTTTGTAATGGAATATGTGGAAGGATAGATATGAGAATATGAATTGTTTGGCATTGGAATCTCAATATATCTTTTCCATTCGTGTTTGTGAATCTTCTTTCGTTTTCTTTCCCGGTTATACAGATGCTTTTTTTTTTCTCTTTTTTTTTTCTCCCTTCTCCATACAAAGAGAGGCTATTTATACTAATTTGGCCGACGTGGTGACCGTTGTATCAGATCTACGTGGCGACATCTCCTAGACCGAAGCCTCACATCGCCGTCAACTCTTTACAATTAATGTTTGGTAGAAGGTCCGCCGTTCTATTTGTAGGCTAACACATGACACGCTCTATTGCAGACGTCACATCAAATCACTTCTAAAAGATCTCCAAATCTGTAATGAAAAGTAGCATCGGCTTCAGTTTGGATTGGGGTTAGTCTCTGTTGAAGGAATTCTGATGCTATACGGCTTCGGACAGCTCAGAAGAACCTCTGATCCATGCGTGAGAGCTTCGGTATTTTCGGGGTTTGATGAGCCTCAGCATCTGCATGAAAGGGACCTCAGAGAGAACTCTTGCTGGCACTAAAAGGCCCTGGACATTAAAAAGACCTTGGACACCTGCTCCTTTCTTTGACCTTGACTTAGTACGTCACATCTCCTGACTTTCCAGCTAAACGTTTGCGTGGCCATCCATGCAGTCCGTCTGCATGGCGATCTGATTTAGGACTTCGGATTTGAAGGGTAACAATTTGTACATAGTATACATGTCAGTGAGCCTATGAAAAAAAATGGATGTTTGTACATTCTCAATCCTTCTCTTGTCTTCACTATTATGTGTATTTAAATTTTTTCATTTTATTAATTTTTTAATTCATCAGGGTTGGGTTGGATTTTGATTCATAACCTAATTCAGTCCGACCTCAAATTTGATTTTTCAATCCAACCCAATTGAACTTAATAACCAACACAAATCAATCTATTTGAGTTGGGTTAGTCGGTTTGAGCGATTTGAATTTATTTTTTCTTATCCATAGCAATGAGAATGAGTATAGTATTTTATTAAAAAATTTAAATTTTAATATGAATAGATTTAGAATGGAATAGTGTATACATAAAGTGGTATTAATATATATTGTTTAAATGAACGAATTTAATGAGGATAAAGTTGGGGTGTAATATGAAAGAATACAATAATTTTTTTTAAAAAAATTTAATAGAAATAAATTTAGCGTTCAATTAATATCTAAAAATGGTGGATGAAAACTACAACTCCCTAAATATATTAATATGGGTCAAAAACTTAAAATTAAAAAAATAATGAAATGTTAAAGAGGGCATTTCCGGTAATTCAAATTTAAAAAATTATGAAAGTTTTATTTTGTTCAACAATTGCGGCTGCTTCCTTGATTCAACAATTGCGTTTGCTTCCTTTTACAAAGTATAATGGTATGAAAAATACAAAAAATTCACAAAGAAGCGTCACCAAAGAGGGGCTCGATATGTTAACGAGGTGCGATTGTATGGACCCTCCCGTCACCCAACGAGTTCAAATCGGGGACCACACGGGCGAGATCGGTATATTTTATCATTACCGTCTTGTTCAATATTTAAGGTCACGCGTCTTTTCCATAATAATATTATTTTATGAGCAACACGTCAATTTAAAAACTGCATCTAGTGTGCAATCCGCGTTCTCAACGCGAAAAAAAAATCGTGGCCGTAGAATTTATTTGGAATATTCCAAATCTCAGACCAAATATCCGAAATTCCTCTATCTAGACCATACTAGTCAATTCCAGAATCCCATTCTCCCAAATCAATACTCCTCTATATAATATACAAACAGCCATACATCATTCGCATAATCTGAAAAACAGATAAAATTATTCTGATCTTAGCAATTCAGTATCGAAAGCTGAGAGAATACCAGAAATCGATCGGAGGAGATGTGTTTGGTTTTTGTTTGTGACGAGGATCAGAGAGTAATCAGTAGGCAACCGGCGCCGGGGGCGTGTCCTTACTGCGGCGGTATGGTTCAAGCCATGGACGTGGAGAGCAGTTGGAGGTTCTGCTTTGTGCCGCTTTATTTCAAGACCAAGCGTAAATTGTACTGCTCCCTCTGCTCCAGGCGATTGATTGTTCAATAACTGTATCCAGAATCAGAGATGATGATGTTAATCATATAGATTTTCTATTTAATTTTACTTTTTGGTGTAATTGATTTTGAGTTTGTAAAAAAAAAATTAATGATATTGTACAGTTTTGTGATATTAAAAATTAGAAATGTTAATGGAAAATTAATCAACATTTTAATTTTGTTTATTTATCGAAAATTTGACACTTTTTTGTTGACATTGATTGTACAACTCTATTATAGTTTCTCATTTCTAAGATGGTCGATTTTTGACATATTTTCAAACAGTGTTTGTGTAAAGCGTAATTAGACTTTGAGGCGAAACTTCAATCTTAAGCGAGTTAAGGCGAGGTATTAGCGTAAAAAATCATTTTTTTTTATTTTTAATATTATTTTAAAATTTTAATCCTTTTAAAAATCATTTAATAATTAAAATAAAACAAACCAAACATTGAAATTGTAAAATACTATATTTATTTTAATAATTTCTATAATTAGTCAATTATACAATTTTCAAATTTTTGAAATGCAAACATTTTCATACTTCCGATTTTTAACTTGGCGAGTGATATTTAATAAATTTATAGGAATTTTATACATGATTTCGGAGTTTTCAACAAAATAACGAGTCTCAAAATCACCATAACTCAAATCTTATTTAAATCTTTATTTGATAAAGTCATTTTTTACTTTTGTATATATAAAATCTTTTAAAAATTAAAAATGAGAGTCGAATAAAAAAACTTTCAAAATAAAAGTTAATAAAAAGCGTCTAGAGAAGACGAAAGAGTGGGGAAAAAAATCCAGCCGTTTGGGAAAAAAAAAAAAATTGTCCCTAAGCGCGAAACGAACCGTTTTGCCCGAACTTCGAGCCTAGATGGTGCTGCTTAAACGAGCTTCTTAGAATACTGTTTTCGAATCAAACCGAATTTATCCTCTCGAAAAAAAAAAAAGAGTAGTGGATATAAACAATTCTCGTGGAGGTGTATGGGCTAAACTGTCCCGTAATTTTATTTTATTTTTAAGAAATAATAACTTCTTTAATGAAATTTTTCTTTTTTTGTCGTATCAGTCCAGTATTAAAAATAAAAAAAATTCTGTTTCCCCTAACTCAGTCCCGTATAGGCATATCATATATTTCAATGAAACCTCCTGTGAAGAACCAAACATGGCACAAAATTTTCTAGTAATAAAATTTTCTTACAGAAGCTTTTTGAAAAATGATGATAGAAAGGATTTAGGATAAGGTTTTGTGGCAAGATGATACAAGTCGGCTAAAGTAATTGCAGGGATTAATTGATATTAAATTGAATAAGTCCAAGTTTGACTTAGTCATTTCCAGAAATTATTCTTTTTATATTTCACCTTTTTATCCTATTGTTTTGGATTTATGGTTGTAAGAAACAACTACATAACATATGTAATAAAACTACCCACTTTTCTCTACAAAATAGATGAGTATGAAATCAAAATAGGTAAAACTGAATCGATTAAACTGAATAAAACTACCCACTTTTCTTTGCAAAATTGAATCGATTAAATTTTTTTGCCAGAAATAAAATGTCATCCTTATTGAAGCAAGATTCTGATCATCTCACTTCGGGTGATTTTAGGGAAGGACTTCACTCCCACTTTGGCCCAATGAAATTTTACAATTTCTTTGGGAGATCACGCGATTGCAACAAACATCAACGACGTAAGACTATCAATCTCAGTTTGAGAAGCTATTGACTAAGGTTGGTCATCTTCCTCCCGACGAACAGGTGAGTAGTTTTGTCAGTAGGTTACAAGACTATTAGAGCTGATGTTCAGACGAGAAGGCTAAAAACATTGTGATGCTATCGTATTAGGCCGCGTTTATGAAGCTCGAAATCTATCTCAAAGAAAGGCGAGCCAGCTACCTGTCCTAAGATCAAATTTCCAACCAAGTCAAGCAGTAACTGTTAGGAAAACCAACGGTATTCTAAATTATTTAGGAGGTACTTAATGGCACTCCTAAATATTTAGGAGATTAGGGAAATCAACGGTTTTTTTTCTATTTAATGGCATTATATTTAATTTAATTATATTAGCTATTTAATAAATATAATAGTTTTTTCTATTTCATGGCAACATAATTAATTCAATTAGATTAGCTATTTAATAAATATGGGCTAATTAAGTAGATACCAATATTGTTATAATTAGAGGATTATGAGAACTCTAATTGAGCAATATGTAAAGACATTTTTTGTTATGGTACCCAACATACCAAATTATACGGAGTTTCCCTTCTCCCCATCTGGAAGAGAGATGACGATCTCATTGAGGAAATAAGACGATTTGGTTGAGGAAGATCACAAACTACACCCATTCGTTCGTGTTCATCAGTATCGATTGTCGTAGTAATTCCGCAACAGTAAACAATCGTTCATAATGGATACATGTATAAAACCCGAATTCGTGAATCCTAGGCCTTGTCTGGGCCGAATTTTTTTTACATTTTAATTCGAAATCCGACCGTTGGCAAGGCAACGGTCCGATTTTGACAAAACAAGAATCTAGGCACATTTCCAAAAATACCCTTCCTTGGCGTGTAGTTTGGAACAACCAGCACATCATTCTCACTTTCCCTTTCCTTCATCCACCCACCGACACCGGAAAGAGGAAGCCACCAAAGGTCCGAGCCAAAACCGATAAAGCCTTCGGTCTTACAGTACCCGCCGACGGACCCTTTTACAGCAAACCCAACCGCAATTTTTGATTCCTTCAGCTGTTGTACTGCTCAGTTTCGTGGTCGATTTCGACGTGTTCTTCTTCTCCAGCAGCAGGCAGACCAAAATTGCTCCAGATCGAAGACGAATAGAGCAGGTTGTACAGCCCAACGAAATTTTACGACGTTCGGAACACTTATGGAATCATTTACCCAGATGCCAAGTTAACGCTCGACATTTCACCATCTACAGCCTGTGCGTAGCAGGCTTCTTCGACACAGTTGCGTGTAGGATCCAGAACGGTGATTTCCAACTCTACATCCTCGGACATTCTTCCTCATCGGACCATTTCGCAACGGCACCTGCAGTGAGCCTGATCGAGACTCAGCCCTCCCTGTCTCGATTATCGTGCAGCAGCGAACACGGACCCCCTGAAATTGAACCCAATCCGTTTCCCCGCTTTGCCTTCTTCTTCAATTACTTCACGTGTGGTGTAAAGAATCAACATTAATTGGATGGATCCGTTCGAACAACCTCCGGTAAGTGACTGAAGCATTGGTTCCATTTCCAGTTTATTGTATTGGTAGGCCTGTGAGTTTGCTTACAAAATTAACCGGGCAAACAACATTTTAATATTGTCGAATGGACACTTGTAGTATTAGCATGTTTATGGAGCTACTGAAATAAAATTAGGCAGTAATGAACATTCGTGTATTTGATCTTTGCACACCTGCAGTATAGGAAAACGTGAGTATGATTACAAAATGAAAAACTGTAACAACATTGGTTTTGCTTTAATCAACACCTGCAGTATTACCGACACGGTCACTCCTCCGGCTCGACCGGCGCTGAAGTTCACAATCATAGGGTGCCACGTAAAAATGCTCAGTGGAATGCACATGAGACTACCATCTTCGTGGCTGCCTGCGAGTCCGTCATCGCTGACGGACACCGGAATGGCAAGTGCTTCACGAAACACGGATGGGAGACATTACTCAACCTGTTCAACACCAATTCAGGCCGCAATTGGAACAAACAGCAGCTCAAAAATCGATGGGATGCCCTCCGCACAAAACACAAGCGCTTCGAAGAATTGCTAAACTGCTCCGGCATCTCATATGACCCGTCAACTGGCAAGATTGGCGCCTCGGAGGAGTGGTGGAATCGAAAAATTAAGGTAGCATCGTGTCATTAACCTCAACTCATGTTGAATTTGTTTGC